CAGCACCCACGACTCTAGTTTCTTTCCCCGAAGCTGTGGCTCTTCCACCCGTTTTATCCCAATTATGCAGTAATACCTTTTCATTGTTGGACACAGATGAACGAAGAGGCACTAAGCCCCTGGCGGGCCAAAGTTCTAAAGAGTATGAGTGTTAGCACGCTGGGCCCTGGTTTCTGAGCTTGCCCTCGCCCCTGCATATCTGGCCACATCCAGTGGGAGATGGCGGCTTTATTTTGGGGGACAGGATGTGGGTTTGGTTCTCAGGCAGCTTCCATTGTGGTTCTGGGCCTGTAACGGCTGAGTAGTGTGTCCTTGGAGAGGTCACTTTTGCTCGGTGACCCTCGATTTCTCCTCTGTGCAATGAGGTCGCCCCGAGGAGTCAGGGAGTTGCTCTGCACTGTTTAGCGCGCGCACAGCAGGTGCCCAGGTGCTGCTGGCTGGCTCCCAACGTGCACGCGCGCATTCTTGTTTTGGGACGATCCCCTTCAGGATGCCGTAATCCACAACTGTCCGGCTGGCCTGCAGGCAGGAAGCAGGGAACCTCTAGACCACCTCCTCCGGTGCACCCAGTGGTGCTTTCTTTAGCTCCTGGGTGGGGGATAGTCAGACCAGGCCTGGCCCAGGCAATGTGCCCCACACCAAGTGTACGAGATGCCTTCACCAGCCAGTCTTGATCGCTATCATCCAGGGAGGCTTCCTGTCCCTGCTGAGGCCTGGGCGTCTGCCAAGCTCAAGCTACTGGTCCCAGAGGGCTGAGTAAAATGAACTCATGGAAAACCTGTCTGCTGCCTCCCTGGGCTGCAGCAGTGGGTTCTGGAGGAGAGGCTTGGTGACATGGTGAGAGGGACAGAGTTAGCTGGCCCCCTCCAAGAAGGTCTGGAAACTAGAGTCGTCTAGATACCCATGGGGACTTGGAAGTTCAGAGACAGGAAAGGGTTTGGGGAGCCATAGGCAGGGTGGGTAACGGCGCACGATTCTCAGAGGTGTTGGGGACATCGAATGGGAAAAGATGCCACTACATTTTACTTGCACTGTGATACTAGATGAATTAAATGCACTGGCTGGTCCATTCTCAGCTGCCTTCTGTGTGAGATGGAGCTAAGGTGCTGCAAAACTGTGCAGAGTCAGTGCCCTCTGTCTCTTCCTCTACTTCCTCTTCTTCCTCTGCCTCCACTACATTTGCAACAGCAACAGTGCTGGGGCTGACCCTGTGCTCAGGGCTTGCTACCCAACATCTCATTAATCCTTGTAGTAAATCCTAGTCCCAGTTATTAATGTCACTGTCTAGTGGCCTGATTCCACATTGCTTGGGGTTAGTTGGAACTATGGCACCTCTCTTTGAGTGCATAGTAAACGTGCATGGGATGTGACCTACTAGACAGGCAGGTATTATAATTATTATTTTCGCTGTGTGGTCCAGAGCTGTGTGTGCAAGTACAGCTCTCTCCCCAACCCAATGTCTGTAGCTTGAAGCATCTGTCCAATATGGATCGTGAGCCTTCTGGGTCTGCTTTTGATTCTTTCCCTTGGGTGACACCCAGGGCCAAGAAAGGTTACACTGCTAGTGGTCCCCCAAGCCCTGTTCTTCTGTTTCAGCTGCTTTAAGAGTGGCTGCCAAAGCTTGGGGTACACCTGAGTTCCTCCAGAGTGAATGTTGTATCCACAACACCCTCAACATCTTATGTTTTGGGGTGATCCATGTGGCTCTGTTGTGGGGCATGGGACTGAATTGACACCCCTGTAGCAGTGTTTTGAGGGGTGGATGGTGGAGGAAGGAGTTTAGCTTCTGAGCAGAGATCTAGGAGGGGACTTGTCTGCTGCTGGTGGGGGCTGTGGCCTGGTCTCTCCTGGGGTGCGCTGGGGGCTCCACCTGCCATTGTGTGTATGGGGGGGACATTCTTTCCTCCACTTCCAAAGGAACACAGGTTCCGGAGTGTGGTTGGCATGAGGGTGGCATAGGGTAGGTGCCTGGGAAGCACAACCAGGATCCCAGTTGGTTGCTGGATTTTCCTTTCTCTAGGGGGGGTTTTGAAGTCCAAGATCACAGTAGAGTGTGATGTAAAACTTTAAATAAAACTTGAAGAAAAGTGTTAAGAAAATGCTTTGGGTGGTTCTTAGTAGAAAAATAATCACTGAGGCAGATCGTGGTGAAACAGAAGGAGATGGAAAAAATGATCCCAAATGTTAGCACCGAGATACTGTGGTGCTTAACAGCTAAAATAACAAACACCGACAATGCTTATGGAGCACTTGCCAAGTGTGTCGTGTGCTTTGTCTCACCTCGCCAGGTCAGAACACAGTGCTTGTGAGAGGTGGGAAGCAGGACCCTGTGACCATGAAGATAGGGTCAGACAGGGAAGGTCTACTTGCTCTCTGATTCTTCCACCTGCCGTTTGTCCACCTTCCCATTCATTCTTCTGTGTGACCTCCCAACACGTCATTCATCCTTCCAACCACCCACCCACCAGTCCACACTATATATATCTCTAGGTTCCTGCTTGTGTCCACTCCCTCCGCTCTCTGAACACCTGCCCTATCTTCCTTCTAGTCATCCACCCATCCATCCACCCACTAATCCATCACCCACCTACGCATCCATCCATTCAATAATACCTAAGCGACTCCTCTGTGCCAGGCACTGTGCTAGGCACCAAGGATCTAGCAGAGTTCAGAGAGGAGCAGGTGCACAGCCCATTCATAAATTGCGAGGCTTTCCATCAGATTTAAGGGTGAGAATGAAAATGAAAGAAGGTGGTGTGAAGGAGGGATGTCTGTGTTAGATAGGGAGGGGGCTGGAGGTGCAGCTCAGTGGCCGAGCACATTCTTGTCATGTGCAAGCCTCTCGGTTCCAACCTGAGCACCAGGAAGAGAAGAAAAGGTTAGAGAAGGGCATTTTGGGGAGGTGACTTTTGTGCTGAGACCCGAAGGTCATAACAGAGCTATCTGAAGAACCCAGGGGAGAGTGGTTGGGGCAGGCGCAAAGGCCCAGGACAAAGGCAAGCTGAGTGGTGGAAGACCTGGAGGAGCAAAGGCGGCAAGGTAGGAGAGGGCAGGGGATGTTCAGGGCCTTGTGGCTCAGTGCAGGGCAGTGTGAGGCTTATGGGAAGCGCAGTTGCCTTCGGTGGCAGGACCTAGTTTATTTATTTATTTTTACTTATTATTATTTTTTATCCTGTCAGGTTTATTTGTACAAAGAACACAGGAGGACACCAGCTCCCCCACAGATGGTATCCCAGAGGTCACACCGGTCCTTCTGTTTTTACATCAGCAGATAAGAGGCTTTTACGGTGGAGCCTTCATGGGGGCCTGGGCACCTTTGGGAGCCTGAGCTAGAGCAGAAGCTGGAGCCTGGGCCTTGGCTGGAGCCTGGGCCTTTGGCCAGCAAGGCCTGCAACTGTTGGCAATGTAGGCACGGATACACTTCCCAAGCTTGGGGTGGGTAATATAGGCAAGTCGAGTGAGCCTGCAGTTTACTCCATCTGGGATGGTCTTGGGCTTGACCTCCTTGGGCTTGACGAGGGCCTTGATAGCCTCGGCGCATGCACTCATGGCCTTGGCATTGTTTGCTTGCATCTTCTTGAAGCTCTTCTCGTGCTTCCTGGCAAAATACGTGTTCCTAAGGAACTTGGGATCTACCCCCTTTAGAGATTCGTGTCTTTGTGACCGAGGTTTCTTGATGCCATTTCTGTGCCATTTTTGGGACTGGTTGCAGGACCTAGTTTAGGTGTTAACAGATCTTTCTGGCTGCTGATCAGAGAACAGACTTGAAAGCCAAGGACAGGTGTGGAAGCCTGGCAGGCAGCAAGGAAGTGGCGTTTGTGCCTGTGGGAAGGTCAGGTTGGTGGCATGGGGTGGAGAGTGGCTGCCCCCAGCCCTGCCCTTCATGTCCTGGTCCTCTGAATAGACATCAGTTTGCCGTCATGTGGCTCTGTATGTCTTTGCCTCTACGAAGTCTCTTTCCTTTGCGGGACTGTGAGCTCCCGGGGACAGGTTTCCTCCTGCTCACGCTGTGTCTCCAGCAACATGCTGGCGCACAGTAGGTGTGCCTGGCACACAGTAGGTGTGCTCCATGAATACTTGTTGAGCAATTGCTGCTCAGTAAGTTCCAAAGAAAATGTAGGAGAATACTAAAGGAGAATAGGTAATGGTGATGAGCCGGCAGTGACCATGGGAAGCCAGGGCTGGGCGCACTCTGCCAGCCTCCCGCTGCCCTTTGCCCTCTGGCCGGGTGGTATTGCAGTGGTGCCTCTAGCCCAGGGCACCCTGTTGCCTGGCGGAGCAGGAGGCTGTGCTTATGTTCAGGAAGAGATTTATCAGTGGGACTTGGAGCGAGTTGGGGGACTCGGGCAGAAGCTGCAAGCAGGACGCTGTGCACTTGTACCCTGAAGTCCTGGCCTCTGGCTTCAGTCCCAACCCCTGGGGCCATGGGCAGGTTCCCCCTCCCCACAAGCCTGTTGTCTGCAAAGGGATGATGGCGAGGGGTGTCAGTGCCCTCATTTCCTGACCCCCTGAAGGCGCCAGGCACCCTCTCCCTCGTTGAGTTCTCATGATGAGGTAGGAGCTACTCCTGAAAAAAGCTGAAGTCCAGAGAGGCAATGTCACTGCCCCTGGTCAGGTAGCTCCAAGTGTGGAACTGGGATTTAAGCCTGCATGAGCTCAGCATCTCCCAAATGCCAGTCATTGTGGGGTAACTTTGAGGGGCTTTTCATATTTGTGAGGCATTGGGACTGTTTCTCAGTTGATGTTTTTCTTGGAACTTGTCTCTTTTAAGTAATAGCTTAATTGAGATATAATTCGCTTACCATCCAGTTCCCCTGTTTAGATGCAATTCAGTGGTGTCTGACATATCCACAGATGGGGGTAACTGTCACCAGGATCAGTCTTACAACATTTTTATGACTGAAATAAACTCCACCCCCTTTAGCAGTTACTCCTGACTTTTCCTCCAACTTCTCCAGCCCTAGATAACTTCTAATCCCCTTTCTGTCTTCACAGCCTTGTCTGTCCATTTTGGCTGTTTTGCCCGGGGAGAACCACACAGCATGTGACTGACGCCTTTCATTTCATAGAACGCGTTCAAGGTTCATCTCCATGGTAATGTGTAGGATTGTTTCATTCCTTTTTTATGGCCGAGTACTGTTCCCTTTTATAGCTATACCACACTTTAATTTTAGATTTTTATCTCCCTTCCTCCTTCCTCCTCTGTCTCTGTCTCTATCTCTGTATTTCTTGTGGTGCTGGGATCAAACCCAGAGTCATATGCATGCTTGGCAAGGGCTCGCCACCGAGCTACGTCCCAGCCCCTTGGTTCATTTTTTAAAACTTAAAAACATGTTAAGAGGTATTTTATGGGCCAGTTGAATTTGATCTCACTCATGTGGAAATCTTGCGCTTAGGCACATTTGTCAGGGTGTGCCGTGGTGCCCATCCGAGCTCCCCGTGCTAACCCCCTCTTGTGTGACTAGTCCTGGCTGCTGCAGCTTTGTCCTGCATCCGCGTGGTTGGTATCTCTCAAGTTTGTGCTGTGGCCTCTACCTCTCTGCCCTGTGCATGAGAAAAGCACATTCCTGTTGCCATTTTCCCCTGGATCCGCTCACTTCAAAGCAGTGACTTTGCCGTGGGATTTGCATAGTGTTCATTGCCTCATAAATGCTGTGCCCATCCTCGGACTGGACTGAAATATGAAACTGTCAAATGTGTGGGTCACTAATGGGACAAATATGACTTCAGGATGCTTCCCAGACAGGCAGCATTGTCCCCTTCTCCAGGTAAGGAAACTGAGCCCTGGCGCAGGAGGAGACCTGCCTGGGAGACAGCTAGGCCGGGTGGGGCCAGGACCCAAACTGCTTGCTCATTCGTTCCCTTTGCTTCCCTGGGTTCCTTTGCCCTTGGCAGTGCCTCTGCTGACGCCCCTACAAGGGTTGTGGAGGCTTTGTAGAGAGTCGGGGATGGGCTTCCTGCATCTCCACTCTTCTCTCTTTCAGGGTGGGTTTCCTGTATAGCCACTCTGAGCCCTGAGCAAAGTTTGGGCATTTGCAAGGCAGCAACTCGGGTGACTGGGGCCCTGGCAGGTTCATGGGTGGTTTCTAGGACCTCAGACAACCTGCTCCTCTGAGGGTCCCGCCACTCCAGGCCCTTGGGCTTCTGAAGCTGGGAACATGGAGCCGGGTCCAGGTCCCTAGGGAGGCTGCTGCACACCTCTGCAGTTCCCCGCTTCTGGAGTGAGATGGCAGAGTCCCCAGGGGTGGGCAAAGAATGCCGACCCTGCCTAGGCCGCTGGACTATTACGCCACAGTTCTGGAAGCCTTCTTCTTCAGTGAGGCAACCAAAAGCTCTGGAAGGATGTGGGCTTGCTCAGGGTCACACAGCCAGCAGGAGCTGATGGGGAGGAGGTGTTGGGATCCTTGCTTCCTGCTTCCTACTTCTTTCCCCCAGATCCTCCTGCCTGGCCCCCTGCATTGGAGGGACTGTCCCTCCTCCTGCAGGTGTGAGCTCTCTGGAGGAGCATGAGCACCCACTGGCCACCTGCCAGGCCAGGGATGTCCTCCTGGTGGCACAGGGAGCCTGCCCATGTACACTGACATGAAGATGTTCTTGGCATCTAGCACCATGCTGGGCAAAGGCCTGGGTTTGTGCCCATCTACCCTCAGGCCGGCCCATGGGGCAGCTGCCTCCGGAGACCACCAGGCTTTGCAGGAGAAGTGCTGCCTGCCACATGTCTGGCTGTAACACATGGGTAGAGATAGCAGCCTTCCTAGGACCCTGCCTGCATGGTGGGTGACTGGTCCCTCTGGTGTCCCAGCACAGTGAGGTTGGCTGAGCAAACAGTGGGATAGACCTGAGCTCCAGTCTTGCTGCTGGTCAAGCTCTGTCACCTGCCATTTCAGTTTTCTGATCTGCATGTCGAAGGTGATGATAATGCCTGCCTCCGGGGCCCTTTTAAGGTCTGGGGGTGCAGTAGGTACTTAATAAATGACCATGTTAATCACAGAAGAGGACAGAGCAAGGCAGTAAGATCCTGGGTTCAATAAGTGTGGGTTCAAATCTATGGCCTCTCCACTTGCTGGCTGCATGATCCTGGGAAGCTCAGACTTCAGCTTTGGTTTCCCTGTCTGTGCACTGGGAATGGCAGTAGAACTGCTGGGAGCTGTGACCCGCAGAGGTCTGAGCCCAGACCCAGGACTGTGACCGACAGCCGTTATGACTGCTGTTAGTGTAGTGATAACATCATGAGGGTGTCCATGCGCCGGCCTCAAACACCCTGTGTTTGTAGCATTGGAGTTGGGTTTCTCTGCACAAGTCAGCAGAGTGCAGGCAGGGAGTAGACACCGTGACTCCTTGGGTTCGGGGACAATGCCATTTCCTGCCCCTCCAGTTCTCCAATAAAGGAAGATGATGCCTAGGCCAGGAGCCTGGCAGGAGGAAGGTTGTGGCCCCAGGCCTATGGGTCACCCCCAATCTCCAGTCATGCGGCAGCACCTCCCACCTCACACCTAGGGTTGTGCTGGGGTTTGGGCTTCAGGTGTGCAGACAGGCTGGGGCCAAGGAGCAGGAGCCATGGTGTGTGTCACCCCCATCCACTGCAGCCAGGCTTGACAGGAACATTTTGTCCATGGTCAGATGGACCTCTGTCCTCCCCAAGTTTAATTTCTCAGCTTTCCACGGGCAATTCTACAGTCTTTATTGCTTCCTCATAAGTGCTGTCTGCTGCCATATTACCCAGACCCTAAGGCCCCAAGACCCCCACACCCAGATTCTTCATGTGGGTATCCTTCAGAACCTCAGCGCCCCCCAGGCTGTGCACTTGGGAGTGATAGGAAACCCCCATCATACAGTTCACATGTGTCAAAACCTTTTGCCAGGAGGTGGGCACCCCCCAACCTGTTCATACCATGAGACCTCTTAAGGCAGGTGTTATTATTTCTATACCCATTTCACAGATGGGGAGACTGAAGTAAGAGAAGCAAAGTCACTCAGAGGCTATCCGTGTGTATTGTACAACTAATGTTTGAGCCCAGGCAGCTGGGACCAAGCTGTGCCCTGGGGTCTGACCTTTTTAATTGTCCTGAAATATATGTGACCATTAACCACTTACCATCCTAACCATTTTTAAGCACACAGTTGAGTGCAGTCATATCACGCGCCTGTCAGCGCCATCCATTTCTAGAGCTCTTTCCATCTTCACAAAGGAAAGCCTCACTCCTGGTAACAATTCCCATTCCTAGCTCCTGGTGCCTTTTTCTGTCCCAGGGAATCTGACTACTCTCAGGAGCTCCTGTAGGCAGACTCATAACCATGTTTGCCCTGTGGTGACCAGCTTGTTTTATTTAGCATAACATCCTCTGGATCCATGTGCATTATTTGTTTGTGGCACTGGGGATTGAACCCAGGACCTTTGCCCTGAGCTACATCCCCAGCTATTTCTTAATTTTTCATTTCGAGACAGGATCTTCTTAAATGGCTCAGGCTGAGCTCATACTTACAGTCCTCCTGCCTCAGCCTCGCAGAGTCTTGGGATTATAAACATGGGGCGCCATGCCTGGTGGGTTCTTCCAGGTTGCGGTGTGGGTCAGAGCATCTTCCTCTTTAAGGCTGGATCACATCCCATTGTGTGGGGACACATTTCTTTTGTCCCTGGAACCTTCGATGGACACTAGGGTTGTTGTGGTTTTTGGCCTGTTGTGAACAACATGGTAGTGAATGTGGTATGTCAGTACCTGTTCAAGTCTTGGCCCTCATGTGTTAGGGTTTCACACCCAGGAGGAGAATGGTGGGGTCCTGACTGGTAGTTCTACTTTCTACTTTCTGAGAAATGTCCCCGCTCTTTTCCATGGTGGCTGCCCTGTTTTGTATTCCTATCAACAGGGTATGAGGGCTTCAGTTTCTCCACATCCTTGACAGCTTTGGGATCTTCTGTCCATTTAGCCATTGTTGGGGTGTGGCTGGCACCTGAGTTTTGTGGGAGACTCTGAGGCTCTTTATCTGTTGGAGCTCCGCATCTGTGTGGGGTGAGGTGCCGGGCTGGGGCTGCTTCCTGTGAGTTGTCTGTCTCCGGGGATGTGTCTGCGGGCAGACTTGGCTTTCCCTCCCTGCTGCTGGAGCACTCTTCTTTTCTTTTCCTTTCCTTTCCTTTCCTTTCCTTTCCTTTCCTTTCCTTTCCTTTCCTTTCCTTTCCTTTCCTTTCCTTTCTCTTTCTTTCTTTCTTTCTTTCT